TAAACCAATATATTTATTAAAAGTAAAACCATTTACCCTTTTACTTACCATTGGGGAATTTATGAAAACAAATTATAGAATCAATAATATCATACAGATCACAACTTTACGTACGATCAGCAGCGTAGAACATATCATAAATTCACATTTATTAACAATAAACTAAATCATAATCGTTTCTCGTTTTACCAGCCCACTAGTATCCATGGGGATCCATAGGGGTGTCCCACTACACGTGAACCCTTTTCTTTAACAATTTTAATTACAGAGTCGTCCCTATACCCCATCCGGTATGAGCGCCAAGATATTAAACCTCCATACCTCGTCCGGTATGAGGGTGAAGCAGGCCGCCCCTATGCCCCGTCCTGTATGAGCGTCAAAGGACAAATTCTCCATACCCTGTCCGTTATGAGACAACATTCACGGTAGAGTTTAGTAATTTGGACTATTGCGGACGGGGTATTGAGGTTTAATAATTTGGCGCCCATACTGGATGGGGTATGGGGACGACCCGTTAATTGAGAATGTTAAAAAGAAGGGTTCACGCGTAGTGGGAACATCCTTATGGACCCCCATTGATACCAACAAGCTTATGAAAAGGGACAGTTGGTTTTTTGATTAATTGAATATGGAATTATAATATGTGCATGTTATCGATTGAATATAAAATCATGATTTGAGTTATGTTATTGTCTCTATAAGTTGTTTTATAAATCTCACTACGGTAAGTAGATGGTAAAAGATTTTGGTTATCATAAATGAATTTATTTAATTAAGAGCTCCATTACTTGTTTTAATTTTTCTACCAACCTTCATTTATGTGTCGCTGAGTAGCATGATATTCTTGATGGGATAGTGTAGCTCATTCCTTATTCAACTATTTTAGATCAAGAGGATTAAGATCTAGAGCCCGATCCATAAGAGGGTTGCGAGTAGGATACTAATTTTATTTATTTTCCGTTTATTTCCTTAATTTTTTATATTTCCTTCAAAATGGTAATTCCTGTAGCACTATTTGGGATTTTAAATTTATGTGTAAAGAATGTAAATCTTAACTATTTATTTCGCTTCTGCACTAAATTCATAATTGATTTCTTTTAAAATTTTCAGAGTCGTTATAATCGGTGTTGGTTTTGATTTTGTAAATATATTTTTGCCAACCAAGTTCATTTCAGGATGATGAAGAACTAGCTTCCATGTCTGATTGTTCATAAGGGCAGACATTTCTTCTTCCATGGCCAATTTTCAATGGGGAATTCTTGTTGCTTCAGTGATCGAAGTAGGTGTTATAAGATTTCTCACCATGTCTGCTTTGAATAGGTGGAAGTCTTGTGGCAGGTTCCTTGGTCTAAATATCCCAGCTTTAGCTCTGGTCATCATCTGGTATCTCAGAGCTTCTATTAGAATATTTTCGGCTTGTACTCTCTCTTCCTCTTGATCTGATGGTGTTATGCTCTGACTGAGAGAAGACACTGGTTCTTCTTGCAACAAATTGTCACCGGTCGAAGGATCTCTTGGTGAGTGTTGCGGTGAGGACTCTGCCATAGGGGAGGAAGCTGGTGCTAGAGTTTCTCCAACAACTTGTCTGCTTGAACTCCCTAGGAAAGGAGAGGCTGATGTAGGGTTGGATGATATATTCAGCTAAGAAGGTAATGTGACTCTATAGACAGTTTTGGGTTGATGTGTTTTCACAAAACCATGGTGATAAAGGAATTCAAGTTCATTGAAGACAACATTTCTGGATACATTTATCTTACCTGCGGAGCTGAGACATTTGTATCCTTTGTGTAGAGAACTGTAACCAAGAAAAACACATTTTGTTGAGTGGAAAGTGAGCTTGTGATTCTGATATGGTCGTA